AGCCCCCAGTCTCCCCACCACACCACTTCTTCCCCTCTGCCACACTTCCCCCTCTCTTTGCTCCATGCCAGCAGGCTCTGTCCTTGCTACAGCCTGAGGCATGGAGCACATGCTCCAGCCCAACCCCATAGCAGCAGTGCTGGCTCTGTGCCGCTGCTATGGGGCCAAGCTGAAGCCCTGCTACATGCACTAGGCTGCAACAGGGACAGAGCCTACTGGCACAAAGCAAAGGTAAGGGGGTGGGTAGAGGGGAAGGTAGGGGGGCAGAAATTTCAAGTGGGGAAGATGAAGTGGGGTGGGGAACTGAGTTTCTGGGGGAGCAGAAGTTGTGTGGAAAGGGAACAAGTGGGAAGGGGTATTGGGGCAACATGAGGCTGCAGGGGGCCAAGCACAATAGAAGGTAAGAGAGGGGACAGCTGGCATGGGGCAAACTGCCTCCTTATTTTGCTACCTCCACCCTGCCTGCCCCATTACTGCCCCCACCACTTACCCTACCACGTGCCCCCTACTTTCTCCTTCATTGTGTCCCCGCACTGCCTGCCCCATTACTGCCCCCAGCATCTCTCTCCCCCCACCACCTGCAGTAGCTCAGGGGGACAAATTTAAGATGATCCTCCAATAATTAGATTCCATACATGGAAAATTATAATAAATTTGTTAGTTTTCCGTGTGTAGAATCTAATTCTTGTGGTGGGGGGGGGTCATCTTATATTCAGGGTCATTTTGTATTTGAGTAAAAGTGGACTAGACTTTTGGTCAAAATAATAAATACCTAAAAATTAGAGATGCACTGATATATTGGTCTGATATCAGATTGGCACCCATATAAAGAAAATTGTCTATTAGAAATTGGCCTTAAGCAGCCGATAATTGGGCCAGTAAATGCGTGTGCATGCACGCAGCCACAGCACAGCATGTAGGCAGTGAAGACACAGCCAGCAGCTTGGAGAGCTGCCAGCTGGTAAGTCTGATGTGGTAGAAGGGGAGGGGGAAGGGAAGGGGCATGGGTGGGGGGGAAGATCAAGGTCTCCATGGTGAGGGAGGGAGTGAGGCAGGGGCTGGGGCAAGTGCTGCCCAGGCAAGACGGGCAGGCAGGCCACAGACCAGGGCTTGTCCAGGCAGCTCGGGGAGGGGGAGATGGCTCCCACTGCCATGCACCATTTTTCTGCTGGCTCCAGCTACTGCTCCTTCTGCTTGTCCGGGAAGGCATGGGAGAGGGGGGGGGTGCCTCTGGATCTGCGCAGGGCAAGGGGTCTGGGGCTGTTCCTGGCAGAGCCTGGGCCGGGCTAGGCATGGAGGCAGTGCTACAGTGAATTTTGGGATGGCTACAGCCCCCCCATAGTCTCCTCCCAATAATGCTGCGCCCTCCCCAGGCTCCACCGGGAACAGCCCCATACAGCCCCAGCCCACCCCATGCCCTCCTGGCCAAGCAGCGGCGGGAGCTAGCAGATGAGTGGTGCAGGAGCAGTCTCCCCCCCACCCCCCCCAGCGCTGCCCAGACTAGCCCTGCTCAGTCGCCCTCCCACTCGCCACGCCTGGGTAGCGCTTGCCCCAGCCCCTGCCTCATTTCCTACCTCCCTCACCACGGGGGTCTTGATCTGTTCCTCCCCCCTCCCCTTCCATCACACCAGACTTACCAGCTAGAGGCAGCTGTATCAAAATTTGGATCATATCAGTCGATATTCCTACTTACCTATTGGCTATTGGTATCGGCCCCAAAAATCTCTATCGGTGCACCCCTATAAAAATTATTTTAGTATATGTTTTAGAAACTTAAAACCAGAAGTCATTTTATTTGAAAACTGCCAACAACTGAAACACTTTCCACTTCCAGATTTTTTATTTTCTTGCAAAAATATTTTAATGTTTTTATGTGAGCAGAAACTCACAGTAAAAAATAAAATATAAAAGAGTATGGTAGAAACTATGGTTTCAACAGGAAAAAATCCCTATGTATGTATCAACAAAAAGAAAAGCAGTCCTTATATACATAAACTAATAGTTCTTTACACTACTTCAAAATACACGGTTCTACAAATAGTTTTGAATAACGGCAAATGCACCTAAGGCAGTAGAGAGGAAAAAGACCCAAAGGAGGGAAATTGTGGTGTATATACCTTTTGTCTTGCAGTAACAGTAACCCTTTCTTGTTTTTCAGCATATTATCTAGGTAAAAGTTTCTGAATTCTTAAAATGAATGGTATAATACATACAAACAATGATCTAGAAGTGTTTCTCAACTTTTTCAGACTCAAGGCACCCCTTATTGGACCCAAGGAATGCCTCTATAACTTTGTGAATTGAGTGGCACCTAATTTCAAAAACTTATTTATATATTACAGTGCTTACTACCTTGCAGGGAGACAGGACAATAGGGATGTGGGGATTAGCCAGGCAGAGACAAACCTAATCCTCTGCTTCTCCTCCAAAGGATCCCCAGGGTGCTACAGTTGAGAATCATTGATCTAAAAGAATATAAATTAAATCTAGGATGAATAATGGATAGGATTCCAGTTATCTCGCAACAGCTAAAAATGTTATTTCAGGCATCCAACTGTAGAGTACTGGATGTTTAGACAAGCATCTTCCATGTTGCAGGGTTGTTGATTGTAGCCATGTTGGTCTAAGGGCATAGGCAAGGCAAGGTACTTTGGGAAGATGTGATATCTTTTATTAGGCCAACTGAGTAGTTGGAAAAAGTTTTTTGCAAGCTTTCAGGCACAAGCACCCTTCTTCAGGCACTGGGAGACTGCTGTTGTTCTGAGATCTCCACGGTAGGAAAGGAGCTAAAAGTGTGACAGGAGGTCAGTGAAAATGTAATTAGGTAGAAGTTTGAAAAACAATGGGTAGAGAAGGTGGGGGGGAATGGGTAGAGAAGGAAGTCAATGGGTAGAAAAGGAGGAAGGAAAGGCAGGTGGGGGGGCGGGATGTAGAAATGGTAAGTTCAGGCAGATACCTGGTGAATCAGATATCAGGCAGGTGGTAATGTGTCCAATGTCTATATTAAGTCCATGATTTTTTGTATCCAGTAGATTTATGAAGTGAAGTTCGTAGGCTCACCAGAAAAGGTGTTTTGTGTCACAACCCAATTAAATAGTGCCCACGTCACAAGCAAGAGAAACCATTCAAAACAGTTTTTTTCTGCACTAGGTTAACTAAGGGTTAACAAATGATAATAACAGCTTTTTTTTTGCTGCGCATGTCAAAAAGAAATTTATAACTGCGACACCAACATGAAATAGAACTTAGCCTTCTGTGCTGTACATAAATCATTATAATTGGTCAAAGAAAACAAGGAGTAACCCTGTGATAATACCCTAGCGAAGACTGCTAGATAATTGGCGATTCTAATTAAATTTATGACGTGGCGAAAAGCAATTGGCTATTATACAAATAAAACCTGTCTTCACTTCCGTGAAGAAGGGGAGACCTCCGCACACGTAACCTGGAGACCTCTGAACGTATGCATCAGAGTAACTGACAATTTGATCACTTGTCAGCTCCCCGTGTCTCGACCCAATCTCAGACGTAAATCAACGACCTGCCGGCCCGACCTTTTCTCTGCCCGACCAC